ACATGGTCGTGGAATCGAATCCTGTATCTTCTTTCCTACCCGGCCGTGACCAAGATCTACATGGTTTGGTCTCACAACATGACGTTTCCGGCCGTTACGTTCTGCAACCAGAACCTCCTCCGCGTGTCCAGCCTCACCAAAGCTGACCTCTACCACAGCGGCTACTGGATGGACATCATGCACCTGAACCACACGGTCAACCGCCAGAGCGTTTCCATGCTCAAACTCAGTCGACACCGCGAGAGGATGCTGCATCTTCTGGACTTCTCCAACTACAGCCCGCCTCCTGACTACCAGCTCGACACCACAGAGATGATTGACAGGCTGGGCCACCAATTAGAAGACATGCTGCTGGACTGCAGGTTCCGGGGTGAAAACTGCACTTACAAGAACTTCACCCCTGTATGTAAACAGCGCTTTCACCGTGATCAACAGTTGTCCGCACTTCAGATGCCACATTTGGATTTAACATCCATAAGCCAGTAAAGCAAGTCACAGTTGTAATTAATTAATTAGACTACCTGAATAAATCTAGCTGAAGGGGTTTTGTTGTGTTTCTAAGAATGCCTAGTTAAGTCTTATGGGAATAGCGCAGTGCAAGGTGTTAAAGTGGATTGGAAATAAGAGTGATTCCTATTTTAACAGCTCGGAGTCTATCAGAAGAGTTCGCAAAAACCATTTCCACTGCATTAACGTGTTTTATGTGTGTGTGTGGATGGCTAAATCTTACAAAATCATGTCTAGGTTATGTTTCACCTCAAAATCAAAGGAAAAAAAATAATATTTATTCATGTATTATTCATTTATATAAATAAATAAAAATATCTCTAATTATATTTATATTTTGCATAAACCTAAATATAACAGGCTTTTAAAAATAGTGAAATTCTCTTTTCAGTTCCATGTAGTTCCCATTTTTCTCAATGACAGTAGATTATCATTACTATAATACATAATTTAACATGAATAAAATAAAAAGAAATAAATACAGTATAATTAAAACGACTGTTTTGTATAAATAATATAATGTACATATAAAACATGAAAGTGGCAATGAAAATACAGTATATGATAAAGTTAAATAATATGAATAAAGTAATTTAAATTTTGAATTTCAATGTAAAATATGTAATTTGAATTAAATTTGTTTTTTATAATATATATTTTATTTATTTTATTAATTAATTTTTTGGTATTATAACAAGGAGGGTTTTATTTTTTAATTCTTTTTATTTATTTATTTATTATTATTATTATTATTATTGTTTTTTATGCATAATGAGAATTGAGCTGCTCATGTTCATGACTGGTTTTCACCCAGATTCACCGGTGCATGTTTTCATTAGTAAAATTTTTATTTCCAAACATTTATTTGCAAAATTGCTGGCTGCAATTGTCATCAGAATAAACTTTTTTTTTTAATGTTCTCTTTTGTTTTGTAGAGACGTATGGCAGGTTTAGAGGACTGTTCGCAGAAACCCGAAGGCTAAAAATCTCAGTAACATCTATTGGCACAGAAACTGCACTCTGACAAATTTCTGTGTAGAAGACGCATGAATTATTAAAAAGCTCTGGGTGCTTTGCACAGATGTGCTTAAAACCTGCCTCCAGCTAAACTCCTTTGCTCAATATCTTGATACTCTTTTTCTCCATTATCAGATGGAAAACCAATCTACCTCTCATAATCCCCAAATCCCTTCCAGTGTTTAAGCATATGAAACTGTACGCATAGCTAAAATCTGATGTGAAATCAACATGACTGCTTTCCACGAATCCGTGCTCACTTGCAGATTACATATGCACAAAGCTCTGAATCATCAGTCTAAATGAGTTCTTGCCTGGTGCGGCGCGAGCTTCCCTTCAGAATGAATGAAGTTAATTACTTGGGAAAAAGGGAAGAGAGAGAGGCTTCAACTATTGTTCAGAAACAATGTGCTCATTTGGTGTGTTTTGGTAAACCGTGAACTCGACATGGCAAACACAAATCCTCTGAACGTTTCATTTCTGCCCCAAGCGCTTTCATGTTAATTGAGATTTTGAGATAATCAATCTTAACCTCACATCTCACTCGTCAGATGCTTGATAAGAATGATTGTAGCTGTGAAAGTGTCAGACAGATTCGTTTGCTTATATGTGTCCTTTTTTAAAGGTCACATGTACAAGTGCACCACTAGTGGCACTGAATAACTTTTTCAAAAATAACGAGATTTTTACTTTTTCATTTCTGTGCAAAACATCGCCAGAGTGCTTTTTGGGAGGTTGTCAGGGTGTTGCTATGCAGTTGCTCGAGTGTTTTGAGTAATAGTATGTTTGTTTGTGGTTGCTAGGGTGTTGCTTTGATGTTGCTAAGGTATTCCGAGTATTTTTTATCCGAGTATAGTTACTAAGGGATCTTGAGTCATTTTAGAATGTGTACAGTTGCTTGGATTTGGTTGTCAGGGTGTTACTATGCAGTTGCTCGAGTGTTTTGAGTAATAGTATGTTTGTTTGTGGTTGCTAGGGTGTTTTAGTGTGCTTATATGCGTTTGCTAGGGTCTTCTGTGAGGTTGTCACTGTCAGGGTGTTGCTATGCAGTAACTAAGGAATTCTAAGCAATGAAAGAGATTCTGAGTAGTATAGCATGTTTATTTGTGGTTGCTAGGGTGTTGCTTTGATGTTGCTAAGGTATTCTGAGTATTTTAGTGGGTTTGTATGCATTTGCTAGAGTGTTCTGCAAGGTTGCCAGGGTGTTGCTATGTAGTTGCTAAGAGGTTCTGAGTAGTATAACACATTTGTGTGTGGTAGTCAGGGCGTTGCTATGCAGTTGCTAAAGTATTTTGAGTAGTAGTAGTCTGTTTGTTTGTGGTTGTTAGGGTGTTGCTAAAGTGTTCCGAGTATTTTAGTGTGCTTGTAAGCATTTTCTAGGGTGTTCTATGAGGTTTTCACTGTCAGGATATTGCTATGCAGTTACTAAGGAATTCTAAGTAATTTTTAGAACATTTGTAAGTAGTTGCTCAGGTGCTCTGTGAGGTTGTCAGGGTGTTGCTATGCAGTTGCTAGGATATTCTGAGTAGTATAGCATGTTTGTTTGTGGTTGTTAGGGTGTTGTTTTGAAGTTGCTAAAATATATAGTATAGTAATATATAGTATAGTATAGTAATAATATAGTATTTTAGTGGGTTTGTATGCATTTGCTAGAGTGTTCTTCTAGGTTGTCAGGGTGTTGCTATGTAGTTGCTAAGAGTTTCTGTGTAGTATTAGCATGAATGTTTGTGGTTGTTAGGGTGTTGCTTTGAAGTTGCTAAGGTATTCTGAGTATTTGTGGGTTTGTATGCATTTGCTACAGTGTTCTGTGAGGATGTCAGGGTGTTGCTATGCAGTTGCTAAGATATTCTGAGTAGTATTGCATGTTTGTTTGTGGTTGCTATGGTGTTGCTAAGGTATTCCGAGTAGTTACGTGGGTTTGTATGCATTTGCTACAGTGTTCTGTGAGGTTGTCAGGGTGTTGCTATGCAGTTGCTAAGATATACTGAGTAGTATAGCATGTTTGTTTGTGGTTGCTAGGATGTTGCTATGAAGCTGCTAAGGTATTCTGAGTAGTTTAGTGTTTGTAAGGGTGTTGCTATGTGGTTGCTACAGTGTTCTGAGTCATTTTTAGAACGTGTTCACTAAGCTTACGATTAAATTTCATATTTGAAATCACCAAAGAAATCTGACAACAACTGTCATAAATGTTGTTACTTTTGCTCAAATAGCGTTATAAAAAGCTTATTTTTCAGGCTAGATCAGCCAGTGCGCATGCGCTAAGAGCACATCTCAGAACGCTGACTGTTTCTATAGCAACCGGGACTTCTAACGGCAGCTGCAGTGACGCGCTGACTTTACCGATTAGCGATTGGCTCTTTCATTCAGAAGGTGGGGCTTCCTGCGATTGAGCGGCCATATTGAGCGTTGCATTGTTCCCCATTCAAAACTATACGAGTAACACGTCTTGGGTATTCTATAGTCTTTGGTTTACTTTTAAAATAAAATAATAAAAAAATAAAATAAAATGTGATGATGCTATTATATTTTAAAATAAAAAAATGAGTATTAAATAAAAATACACTTATTTTATAGTACACTTAAAAATACAATGCTAATATTTACATTTCACTTTTTTCTTTCTTAGTTTTTTTTTTTTATATGAATTTTCACAATTTTTAAACCAAAAATCAACAAGCGTTTATTTTGACGGGTTGCCGGCAAGTAACTATATGCGCTGTTGGTTTTAGCGCTGCCGAGTGAAGTGCGTCAGTGAATGTCACTGCTTGCGTTTTGCTATGAAACCGACAGAGCGTAGCCTAGATGTATGCCTTCAGTTCGAATGGAAATCTTATACAGTAGTACAGTTAGTCGATCTAAAATGGTGATTGTGTATTAATAGCTGTCAATCATGTCGGTACTGTATTTTTTATTTTGGTCGCGCATGCGCACCACTGGTTATCAATGTTGAAAACAGTTATGATTCTTCATATTTTTGTGGAAACCATGATCATTTTTTTCCAGATTTCATTTGAAATAGAAATCTGTTTTTAAAGGGTTAGTTCACCCCAAAATGAAAATTCTGTCATTAATTCCTCACCCTAATGTCATTCCAAACCTGTCATTCGTTCATCTTCAGAACACAACTGAAGATATTTTTGATGAAATCCGAGAGCTTTCTGACCCTCCCATAGACAGCAACGCAACTCTAATGTTCCCAGGTCCAGAAACGTAGTAAGGACATCGGTAAAACAGTCCATGTGACATCAGTGGCTCAAAATCAGTTTTGCGAAGCTACGAGAATACTTTTTGTGTGCAAAGAAAACTAAAATAACATCATTTATTTAACAATTCTTCTCACCCGAGTTACGTCTTCCGCCATTTTGGAGAGTACCCAAGAACGTAATCAGCGTAGTTTACGCTTGGGGTAAAGTGTGCGTATGCGTTGTGATGCTCTCCATTTTATATTTACTATTTTATGGTTTGTCCACCCACAGATTTACACAAGATATGGGAAATGTTACACGTTCAACTCTGGTCTGGATGGAAACCCCTTGTTGACGACTTTAAAAGGCGGAACAGGAAATGGGCTGGAAATCATGCTGGATATTCAACAGGATGAGTACTTACCGGTTTGGGGTGACACAGGTGAGCAATATATTAAAAAAGACATCAGTGATGTGTTTCTCATCATTTATTTACTGTTGAAGACCCGTCATTTCATTCATATTACTAAAGTGTTTCTTCAGTGATCGTATCAATTCAAAAGTTTCAGACAGAAAGTTATGTAATATCCAAACCTGGTGTTTTAAATGACAACATGCATCATTCTAGGTTTGAAATGCTGCCACATTTTAAATAACATAACTAACTGTACAGGTTCCACAGCTGAATTATGTTCCAAAAGGTTATGTTTCAAAAAGACAAGATACATCATATCTGAAGGAACTGATATGCAGCATTGCACATTAGCATAATTCACCCATAAGTGGTCGCCCCAAAATGATTTCACTTGTGGTAGAACATTTAGATGTGGAGATAACAAGGTTAGGTCTTTTTCTTGGTCGTTTTTTACCAAGTACACCTGCCCCATTACTGCTGCGTCAGACGCCTTGTTCATTTTCTGTGGCACGCTGCAATTTTTCAACATAATCATGCACAGAAAATATATACGAAGCAGAAAGAGTAACGAATGTCCAAGTGCAATTTAATCAACTGTAGATGACATGCGGTCAGTATTCAGATTTGATGTACTTCTATGCTAGGGAAGATTTTGTATTTAAAATCTATTAATCTTGGTCGTTTTAATGGCTCTAGAAGAGACTTTTTATATCCAGAGGCAGTGACGAAACATGTATTGGCATTCTGGATAAAGTAATTATAAAGTTTATTATAAAGTCATTATATTTATGCCTCGAGGCGGTAGACATCAAATCTCCCGCTCTGTAAATAATCTTGTTTAATGTCTCCCTGCAGACGAAACCTCGTACGAGGCGGGCATCAAAGTTCAGATCCACAGCCAGGACGAGCCGCCCTTCATAGATCAGCTGGGATTTGGTGTGGCCCCTGGTTTTCAAACTTTTGTGTCTTGTCAGCAACAACTGGTACCTAATGCTAAACATATCGCATTTATCAGCTGCCTTGCTTACTCTCCATCCACACCATCATCTCTTTAAACCTGGAGAAAACCAGACGTTTTTTGGTGCAGAACTAAGGAAGGTTTTACATACACTATCCTTCACAAGTTCGGGTTTAGAAAGATTGATCATATTTGCACAAAAATATTAAGCACCGTTTTTTAATATTTATGATCATAATAAATGTATGCAACCTGTATGTATACAAACTTCTATGTAGTAAAGTGACAGAGATATACTGGACAATGATAATTGCATTTTTTTTTTTATGCTTTATTATGCATTTAAAAATGTATTTACAATTTTTTTTAATTTAGTTGAATTTGAAACATTTTTATTATTTTATTTTTTAGTTAAACAATATTATTTTGTCTTATTTAAATACTTATTTAAACAATTTTTAGATAAAAAATATTTATCTTATTTAAACAATGCAAAACACTTTTAAATATGTCTGTTAATTTGTGCATTTAAAAAATGATTTGTTTCTATTTTTTGTGAATTACAAGGTGCATTTAAAATTATTTATTAATTTACTTATTTGTTACATTTTAAATAAACATGTTTAAATTGAAAAATATAGACATATTGAAAACTCATTTCATTCAACTACATTTTAAACACAAATTAAATAAACAGTTTTAGTTCAGTTTTAGTTTAGTTTAATTAGATTGTTTGTTTATTTTTAGTTCAATTGTAGTTATTTTAGTCATTTATCTTATTTAAATACTTATTTACATTTTTTTAGTTTAAAATATTTATGTATATTATTTAAATTTTAAATATTTCTGTGAATGTTTGCATTTAAAATGTGATTTATTTCTATTTTTATTTGTGAATTGCAAGTTGCATTTAAAATTTGTTTATTAATTTGTTTTATAAAGTTACATTAAAAAATAGACTATTTAAAGCTGTTTCATTTCATCCAACTATGTTTTAAAACAAAATGAAATGTTGAACAATATTCATTCATCTTAAATGCTTATTTAAATATTGTAAAACAAATATTTAAAAGGAAAAAGTTACATATTTATTTCCATTAAACTGATTCATTTATATTAATTTTTTAGTGCTGCTCCTAGTCCTCCACTGTGTTTCTGTGATTAAGTTGATCACAGCCAGGCAAGCAGTGTTTATTTTTATGCATGGTTGTGTGCACTGAGGTCATGTGACTCCTCATGAGTATCTAATTCAGTTTCTAGGGAGCACTAATTGGCAGGAGGTCAGGAAAAGCGCTCGTTTACAGGCTTCAGTGGATCAAAGGCAAAAGCAGCTCTCACGGCCAAAATCAATACGTCTTCATTCATCGACCCTTAGCAATAGATCAATTAGCTGAAATAATCAAGTGCTAAAGGCAACTGCACGCTCCTGATCTTGCTTTCAATTTACTGACCTACGTTTTCTGCTTCCTCTTCATTTTTTACTTCAAAGCACTCTGAATCCATCATAAACTCTTATTACATGACGCTTTTTGCAGGCGACTTCAAAAAGTGACTTAATTTAATGGGAGGATTATCTTCTCTACTGGTGCCATTAGATATGCAAAATGATATAAAATCCAATTATATTTGATATGATTCTTATTAAAAGGCTCTTAAATTGAATAAGAAGAGCATAATATAATTTTAATGACTTAAGAAATGAGCAGCAATGTTGCTTCCAGTTACTGAGCCACTGCTAAGCCCCGCCTTAAAAATGTTACTGGCCAATCCTGCCTTAGCAACTGTTGCCGACCACAATTAGTCAAGCTTTCTAGTGGATCTGCATTTGCATCGTTTTACAGAAATGATCCCAAAATGTGTAAAATAATTAATTTTTATATTAAGTAAGGCCATTTCAGTGGTTATAATAACTAAAGAGTGTAAGAGAGTAATCACAAATGAGGAGTTTCCCTTGTCAAATGATTTATTCATTTATTAATTGTTTTATTTATCTATGTTTAAGTTTTAAAAGTGTATTTATTTTTTTTAATTTAAAAAAGATTTATGTATTGTATCATTTAATTTAACTACTTTCCAAATGCAAATAAACTGTTTTAAATGTATATTTTTAAGTTGTTTTATTATTTGTAAAAATGAAATAGAATTAAATTAAATATATATTTATTTAATTGATAAATTAATAAGTGATTCATTAAAAATGGCACACACATTAACTATATAAATATAATAAAATATAAATGATTTGATTTAGCAACAGTGACCAAGCAAAGGGTCAGTTCATATCTGTGGTTTTCTTCAGGTTTCACTGATTTTCCAGCATGTTCTTTCATGCTTTTCTAGACTGTGAACAGTGTGGGTTTCATTGTATTCCGCTGCTGTTTTGATTTGTTCTTGAACAGCTTTATCCTGCCTGTAATGAATGAAACTTTATGTTCTAGCTCCAGTATCTTCCTCCGCCGTGGGGCGACTGCAGATCCGAACCGATGGACTCTGAATACTTCTCCACCTACAGCATCACGGCCTGTCGCATCGACTGTGAGACCCGCTACCTGCTCGAAAACTGCAACTGCAGAATGGTGCACATGCCAGGTGTGGAGACAACACATTACTGGTCTTCCCATTAACTTGACTGCTTTAGCATTTAAACTGTAATCCACAGTAGAGTATGTTTTGAATATAGAGCAAAAATACTGCATGGACATTTTATTTCAGTGCCCATATTAACAATTTTTTTTTATTTTCCTTGATACATTTTTGAATGTGCAGGTTGTGCAGAACAGTTTTTTTTTTCATTCATAAAAACAGTCTTCATGCTTGCTTATTCACACTTACAGATTTTTGTTATCTGTTATTTTTATCATTTTATTTTATTTTATTTATCTCTTTATTTTATTAAATCTCTCCACACATTTGCTTATTCACACCTACAGTATTTTATTCTCAATTGTAGTTTGGAGTTTTATTTTATGGTCATTTATATTTTATTTATTTATTTTTTATGTTTGAAACAGGTCATTAGCAATTGGAAAAAATATACATTTTATTTTATTTTCTCTCTCCAGATGCTTGCTTACTCACACACACCTACAGTATTTTACTCTTGTATTTTATTTAACAGGTTATTGGCAATTGGAAAAATATTTTATTTTTTATATATTTTTATTTTATTGTATTTTTATTTTGTTTATCTCTTTATTTTATTAAATCTCTCCACACATTTGCTTATTCACACCTACAGTATTTTATTCTCAATTGTTCTTAGTTTACTTTGTATTTTTATTTTTTTTTATTTTTTTTTTTGGATGTGGAGTTTTATTTTATTTTATATTTTATTTTATTTTTTATATTTTAAACAGGTCATTAGCAATATATATATATATATATATATTATGTTATTTTCTCTCCACACACTTGCTTGCTTACTCTCACCTACAGTATTTTATTCTCGGTAGTACTTAATTTTAACAGGTTTTTAACAGTTTTTTTCTTTGATAGTTATTTAGATGTGGAGATTTATTAACTGTTGTGTTTTCTTTTATTATTTTACTTCACTGTATAGTTTATTAGCAGTTTGAACAATATTTTGTCTTTCTTTTTGCTTTCTATCACAGGCACCTCTACCGTCTGCACACCCGAACAGTACAAAGACTGCGCTGATCCAGCTTTAGGTAAGAGGACGTCAGGAGTGATTTGTGTATTTTTATAATAATATTTATTTCTATCACTACTAAGTAATGTGTAAAACCATGATTCTATATGATTAATTAAAATATGCTTATTCAAATTTTTGTAATAATAATAAAAACAACAATCATTGACAGATTTTCTAGTGGAGAAGGACAACGATTACTGCGTTTGCGAGACGCCGTGCAACATGACTCGATACGGTAAAGAGCTGTCCATGGTGAAGATACCCAGCAAGGCTTCGGCCAAATATCTCGCCAAGAAGTTCAACAAAACTGAACAGTATATTGCGTATGTTTACATTCACATTTACCTTAGTTACACATTGAATTTGATTTCATTTCTGCATTGGTTTTTTGTATTAATATCCTGGAAAAAGTTTATCTGAACAGTCATGCATTGCGTTTCATCTTACAGGGACAACATATTGGTTCTGGATATCTTTTTTGAGGCTCTGAACTATGAGAAAATTGAACAAAAGAAAGCCTATGAAGTGGCTGGATTACTTGGTAAGTGTGCAGAAAATTCACAAATGCTACACCAATATGAAAAATCGAGTTGTCTTCTGCTTTAATATTTGACTTTTTATTATGTTTTTATATTCTCTCAGGTGATATTGGTGGTCAGATGGGTCTGTTTATAGGAGCCAGTGTCTTGACCATATTGGAGATATTTGATTATTTGTATGAGGTCTGTTGCATTCTTGCTTGACTACTTCGTCATTTCTTTTCATGTGCTCATGGTTACAAATAATTTACTTATAGTATATTTAGGTTGGCTTGAGAAAGCCAACCTACTGATCTGCTATTTAAGCTTCTTCTTATTATTATTCTTATGAGACTAAATTTCTGAACGCTACTCCTCCTAGAGCTTTCAAGCTAGAACCACCAAACTCAGCCCAGCTCTTCAGACTGATCTTACTCGGGTTGCTATATCTTTTCAGACTGATCCGACTTACTTTTCATAAAACTGAAGATTAAAAATCATAAAAAAATATGCTAGTAACATGCTAATCATGCTAGAAACAGGCTAACGACATACTAGTAACTTGCTAATCATGCTAGCGACATGCTAGTCACTTTGCTAA